GTGCCTTACTCTTCCACAGGGGATGCAACTGGCTCGACCAACAAGACAGTCATTCCCTTATTATATTATATTAATTAATATTATTAAGCTCTACTTTGTATTAAGCACTTTTTAAAAATATAATGTTTAGACATTGGAATAATCTACCTTACACTTGGACACACACGCGCGCGCGCACATACACAGACACACACACACATATATATATATATATATCATACTTATTATAAAACTCAGGTTGTGTGTGTGTGTGTGTGTCTGTACGTTTATATATTGAATCGGATTTCCTACATTTTTCAACCGATTTCAACAAAACTTCACAGGACTACGTAAAATTACCTTGCGGTGGTTCTGACAGCGCCAAAAATTGGAAAAACACAATTGTTTTTGCACGAAATCAATTGGAAAACACGATTAAGAGGCAACGCGAAACCGAAAGGGGGACAACTCATATCGAGTTATACTTATTATAAAACCCAGGTTGATTGTGTGTGTGTGTTCGTTTATATATGGGATCGGATTTCCTACATTTTTCAATCGATTTCAACAAAACTTCACTTTTTTTGGGCTGGTAGTGTTTCTTATTGTCTTGCACACTTTTTTCTTTATTTTTACATTCAGAATGCTTTAAAAATTCCATTTACAAGACAATTGTTTATAATAAAATTCTATTCAATCGGTAGACTCATAACGATTGAAAACAATGTTTTTGTTTGAGTTTGGGATTGACCAATTCGTAAAAAAACGAAAACAAAAAAACAAACTAATTAAGACATGCGTGTCCGTCAACCTTAAACAATAATCTTTGTCAATTTTATTTTTCAGTCTTTATGATGGTCGATACTTGATCTATCTCTTACTGTTACATCCGCGGGCTCTAATTAAAGATATCTTACTGGAATTCTCCGAGGGTTTTTGAACAATATGAATGTATTTAGCTCTAAGTTGAAATGATGATACCCCTTCCTGATGTAACCTCCTGATGCAGTTTTTCACTCTATTGTTCCTTCTTTTTTTAAACTTAACCACCATACTCTTGATGGTTCTTAGATGGACTTTGAAGATGGATATGATAAATTTTATAAATGTGAAATATCCTAAAGTATCTACGTGAAAATTGGTTGAAGGTTAAAAATCTCCCTTTTCGCTTTGACGTTTCGCTATTTAAATGAGAATTTAAAAAATTTAATTGAAAAAAAAAATCTAAAAGATAACCGTAACCACGGCATCCTTGCCGCATAAAAAATTGTTTTACATTTTATGGGCGAAGGAAGCTCAATATCGAAGACTAACCGTTTCTAGATATATAAAGTATGGAAATGTGATCAAAAAGACAACCTCAAACGGAGCTATTTTCGAGCCACTGTAGAGGCATTTTTAACGTATGGTGCCACTGCCTGGACATTAACTAAAACCACAGAATCTAAGTTTGAACATACACTTGGATGATGAGAGCTATTCTTAACATCCCTTAGAGACAACATTCAACTAAATCACAGCTGTATGGCCCCATCCCTGATATACAATCTTACACGAACGCTGAATGCGCTTTACTTTTCTTTTTAAGCGTTTCACCCCAACCAAGGCGTGAAGCCACTAGGACGCAAGGGGTTACAGAAAATTTGGAGCAAGATCAGATAGGAGTGATAGAAGAAAGGATGAGGAGAAGGGTAGTGGATAGATCAAAGCAACTGGAGATGTCGATTGACATTACATTTGAATAGCTGGAGATTATAGCTCTCAGGGAAACTGGAATAGGGAAGTGAGTTCCACAGGCGAGAGGTGCAAGTTATGAAGCTATTGGAGTAGAAGAGACAGCTGCATTTAGTAGTTTCGACAGTGAAAGGGTGATAGCGGGATGCCAGCCTCGTAGGGCGCTTAAACTCATGAAGTCTGGGAACCAGCGAATGCAGCTCCTCGGAGCAATTGCCATGAAAGTATTTGTAAAACAGACAGAGAGAGGCGACGGCGCGTCTGTGAGAAAGTGACTGTAGACGAGATGCCAGAACAGGGCTAATTATATTGCATATCCCTGATATACAATCTTACACGAACGTGGAATGCGCTTTAGAGGGCATTAATCACGAGCAAAACAAGAAATTGGGAGTGATTTATGGCACTGGACACCTAGCCATAAAGCAAGACAGGTTGGTCACCCAGCAACCACCTACATTGACCACCTATGTTGTGAAAAAATTCCATCTTAATAACCTTCTGATCTTGATGCCGGACCGTGATGTTTAGCGTCATAGACTTATGAATGTTCGAATTATCTCAACCGAATATAAAATAAATAGAAATTATGAAGGGATGTGAGGCATTTTCAGTTATAACTTTGCTCCTTCGAATTGTTATGCAACTTGAAACAAATGCTTATTAAAAAAACTTCTGTCAGTAAACTAAACAGGAATTTTGCAGGTAACTGTTTCACATTCCAATCATCTGTTAATCTATAACGCGAACTGTAAGTGAAAGCAACCTGAAGAGGGATGTGCTCTATTAAACTAATTTGTCCTTGTCACACCTACTGCTACTACAGCTGCATATGGAACACAAACGACTCTAATAGGTTACAGCTAGGGTTCTCAACCAACGGTGAATTTATTCCGTTAGGAGATTTCAAGAGAAATATTTTCTTTTTCTCTTCTTTTTCTTGTTGTTTATTGAATTATATTACCCTGACCTATCTACTGAACTTTTTATTTATTGAAGTATACTTCAGCTTATTTATTTAATAATTACTTATGAATTAAAACAAATTACTATACATGTATTCCAGTTTAAAAATATCAATCATCATTTTCTATTACTATTAAATTTATAGAAGTCCGCTATAAAAAAAACAATCCGTGTAAATATATATCTACTAATATGGATATGAATGAAGATTTTCAATAATATATGCATATTATTTGGAATGTACCCTTTGAGTCGGACAATCTTGAAAAGTAATGGAGGGAGGTGACCTTTTGACTTATGGGTAAAAGGGTTCATTGGGCAAAAAAGGTTGAGAAACACAGGGTTACATGTGCATGTTAAACAAGTGATGTCAGTTATTTCATCAAAGTTTTAACGACGATCGCTATTGATAGACGAATTTTTTAAAAAAGGATTTTGTCATTTCGTTTTGTTCAAGGCCGACCACATCGTTGTTGGTTTTCAAGTGATACTTCACCGTGTTTGAAACGTGAATACAACTCACACACTTGAGTTTTACCTTTATATTTTTCCTCAAAAGCTTCTCAAAACGATATAACAGTTTTAGTTGCATGTTTCTCTAAGTAGTTTGGGCATCAATTGATAATTTTTTGATGAATCTTTTTTGTTACTTATTTCTCTGAGACTCTTCCCATAAATGAGCTCTCTCGGGAAAGTATCCAGACAATTGGTTGTGCGGCCTTGATGCTAATTAGAAAACAATCAGAAGAAACCTTACTGTGCATGTTTTTTTTTTACAGCGGTTTTTACCCTGTAAAAGGACCGAGAGCCACTCGAGGTAGAGCGTTACAGAGTAAGAGGCACAGCTTATGTAGATATGTATGGGAGATAACGGTTAATCCTAGACTTGAACAGGTTAAGATTTTAGTGATTGGGAAAGCAACCTCTTGGGAGCCGGTTCGACAAGGTAGTGGTTTGTGCGAAGAAGCTGCTTGAGTAGAACTTACCAGGGAAATACAAAGGTGATGAAGGTGGTTCGTTACTCTTGGAAAATGTATGGATCCATCTCTCCACAGTTAAGTGTTAAAGAATAGTACTTGTATTTGGAAAAGTTTTTGTCATTTCCAAATTATTCATTAATTCAATACTTGCCAAACACGAAAAAATTATTCTTACAGTATAAAATATGTTTCGGCCAAATAACCCACAAATCAATCAAACCGAAAAGAAAAGAAAGCTGCGTATATCAGTCATTGTGAAAACTGACATGTAGGCTGCTTTTGAAGACGAGAAAAGGTCAGCAAAAATGGCCACCTAAAACGGACTAATCAATATAGAACCGGTGCATAGTTCAAAATAATATTGATCTCATGACATCTAACTGCATGGGTTGGTAGCACATATTAGAGTCCCGGCTATGGGCAAATAATAAATTCCCAAACAAAAACAAAACACTATGAAAGTATGAATATATATATATATATATATAAGTTTTAGAAACTAATATTTAAAAATAAATAAGAGAAAGTGCAAAGGAAGTTTTCTGATTAATTTTTAACATTAATGACAGTAATAACTTTAGACAATTGATAGAGCTCAGCTCAATATCATTATCATAGATTGTGGCCAAGAAGACTATCTTCTGCTTAACTCTCAGTTCCAGGATGTGAAGAGATTTAGAATGCCTATTCATGAAATAACAGAAATTTCAATGACCGAAGGAGTAAAGACGATGTCCATGAAAGAAAGGCTACTGCGTGATATTTGAATACGACTCAGGTCGGAAACTGCAGTCGAAGTGTTTACATAGTTTGGGAATAATAATAATAATAATAATAATAATAATAATAATAATAATAATGATAATAATAAATGGAGTTAAATTGATAATAAACTTATAATAATGACCATTATTTTCCAGATAATAGTGAGTTGTTGGCATTATTAAAATTTACCCAGAGAAATTCATTTCCATTAAATTATTCTTTTATTAAATTGAAATTCTTCATATTTTTCATTCATTCATTTCTATTCATTTCCTTTCATTCATTTATTTATTTCTCTGACGTAAATCTGCCGACGAATTTTGACGACTTTTAAAGGAAATTAATATATTTTCATAATGTCGATCAGCCTCGTTTTCGGTTGCAGTACCGATTTTTATTTATCTGAATGGAGATGAACATTTAGGCAAGTGTATTGTGACCCACTAACCTAGAACGAGTGTAAGTATAAAAGTATACTGAAAAGCAAGGACAAACTTTTTTTTATAGAACAAGAACAAATTGTCCTTTCCGTACGGGGAATGGTGGGATGCCAGATACTCTCTAATCATATCCAAGTCTGTTCTTAACTATCCATCTATCTATTATTAATTATCAATCTGTCTATCTATCTAGCGAGCTAGCATTTTTTATCTACTGTTCATTATCAAATCTATCTGTTATATCTATCTATCTATCTATCTATCTATCTATCTATCTATCTATCTGCATATATGTATTAAGTTTTATAACTATATATATAATATATATATATTATATATCTATTATATCTATCTGTATATTATATCTATCTATTTTATTTAACTATCGATATATATATTATATGTATCTGTCTATCTATATATTATATCTATATATATATATCTAGGTACCTATATCTTTTAGCTATATATATATATATATATATATATATATATATATATATATATATATAAACACACACACACACACACACACACACACATATATATATATATATATATATATATATATATATATATATATATATATATATATACATATATATTTATAAATGTAAAAGACAATAGGACAACTGTAATATTAGCTGACGCGTTTCCTTCAAACATCGGACGAATACACACACACACACACACGTATATATATATATATATATATATATATATATATGTATATACGCTTATCTATATATTATATCCATATATCTACCTATCAACTATCTATTATATCTCTATATATCTTCCCACATCTTCTCACAAACTCAACACGGAGGCTTATGTCAAGTGGCTTGAGGAGGTACTGCTGCCCTGGATCAAGTGGGTCAAGAGGATGGCTGCTGGATTAGTCTATGTCTGGCAACAAGACTCAGCACCATGTCATACAAGCAGGAGAACTCAGTCATGGCTGCCAGAAAATTTCTCCGATCCCATCACCCTTTACATCTGCCCACCTACTCCCCACCAACTTGATTATTATGTAGGGGTGCAGTTGTGTGAGTGACCAATAACAATTTGGAAAAATGTGAATTCAAGGCAAGGATTTTGGCAACATTCGCCAACTTAAACAAGGAGACCGTACAGAAGAGTTTCCGGAGATTCCATCTGGAGGCCATGGTTGAAGCCAATGACGATTTTATTGAACAAATTTAGTCTTTAATATTTTAAAATATCTAAAAATAAAATAATATCTAAGTTTGGTAAATATATCTGTTAAAATGAGATGTCAGTGTTAATTTCATTATAGTGTAATTAAGACGACAATTTATCCATCGCACCATATATTCTTTCTATCTATCTATCTATCTATCTATATATATATATATATATATATATATATTATATTTATCTATCTGTCTGTGCGAGAAAATAAACTGCTAGCATAGAATTTACGGTTACATCCAGCCAATTCAACTCTAAATGGATGAGATATTGATGTTAATCATGTTTTGCGATTGAATTCATAAAGTCTAGCTGCCATAGCAAAGAGATTATCCAAACAATTACCATGAAAGTATTTATAGAAAAAGGCACGGGGGGGGGTAACTTTACGACGGTGGTAAAGTGACTGTAACCGAAGATAGATTCTGGCAAAGAAAAATTGTCTAACACGACACAGTGAATCAACTTTCTTAGCAGCTGACCTAGTAATAGATTTAATATAGTCTTTCCACTTCATGTCTGCCGAGAATGTTAGACTAAGAAGGTATAATGAGTCACTATCCTGGAGGTTAGCATCAGTCATGCTGATGGAAGGCAGAAAGTTGTCTTTCAGATTATTAATAGAGAACTGCTTTGTTTTGGAGGCATTGAAATTAAGAAGTCATCCTTTGCCTCAGTTAACAACTGACTGTAGGTAATTTTTGACATCAGCTGCCAATTTGACCTTATCAATCTGATCTGATTAATTAACTGATCATAGATACCAAGTTAAGAAATGATGACACCAGAAGGTTATTGATGAAAATTAAGAACAAATTAGCGCCAAGGACAGATCCCTGGGGGACACTTGCGTTAGTACGAAAGGATTAAGAAGAGTGGCCGTTCAGGACAACCTACATTTCACGATTGATAAGAAAGACTGGATCATTTTAAAAGTCTCACCAGAGACACTCTAACTTTTTGAGTTCTCCACTGCAACAGGCCGTGCTTTACCACACTTGTCTAAAACTTGATAGACTTTCTCCTGCAATAATCGTTAATACATCAGCAGTTGCCCTAGAGAAAGGAAAGCCATATTGTCTGACAAAAAGTCCGGTGATGCTTAACAAATTCAGCGTTGGTTAGGACCTCTAGTAGTTTACTAGAAAGAGGTAGATGGCTAATAGGCTTGTAGTTAGAAGAGTCAGATGGTTCACCCGAGTTCTTAAAGCCTGGAACAACAGATGGGGATTCCTAACAAGAAGGTTTCCTTCTTGTTAGGAATCCCCATCTGTTGCAAGAGGCAGTGGGTGATTTATTATACAGCTTGGAGATAACAGGAACCAGTTCGGGAGCATATTTCTTAAGGACTATTCCAGGGATACCATCAGGTCCACATGCTTTGTGGGGATACAGATTATCTATCTATCTATCTATCTATCTATCTATCTATCTATCTATCTATCTATCTATCTAATTCTGCTCGTATCAGTCTATAAGAAGAGTGCTGTAAAGTACTTGAACCGATCAAAGATAGATTACAAAGGCTGATCAAACAACCTTCTGATCAAACGCAATGATTTGTTTACTATCCACTACATTACGACTAGGCTCCTACATTCAAATAAATCAGGATTTACTCATATAGTCGCTAAATTAGAATTACACAGGTACACAATTTTATTAGAAGAGATACACAGAAACTCGATGAGGAATACGGTGGTGTAATTGTAAAGAGAACAGTCAGAAAGAAAATCTTTTTCAAAGGCTATGATGAAGTCAATTTATATTCCCATACAAAATGTAATCGACTTGACGTTGTTTTAATTAAAGAGAATAACATACGTTTGCATAAAGACTGCTATTCGTCTAAATTCCTTTAAAAAATATTAGATTGGTTGGAAAGCAATTACGTTTTACTAGAAAGGGTATAAAACAAATGTAAGGTAAATTTATTTACCAAAAATGTAATCAATTTCATTTTTAATGACTGCAGTCCAAAAGAAAGGAAAATGTTCATTTCTACGCTTAAAGAAATCTGTTTCTTTTTCTTGAATAAAGTTTGAAAGTCAATTTTTCGCCTTCTTTGTTTTTAACTTTTTTTTTTGTCACATGAATTATTCGTCTGAGTGATCAAAACAAATGAAAATATGCAAAGGTTAAGTCTCTCAAGTATGGAAGATATTGAAGAACATCCGATCATAATTATCTTATTCTTGGATTTATTGGATTGCAGTTTGGGCCTCTGCATTGTCATGCTGGAGAATGACACCTTTTCTGTTTAAGAAAGCAAGACATTTTCAATGTTATGCTGTGTTTACTCGATCAAATTGCTGGCAATAAAAGTCTGAAAGGATGGTCCTTCCCGTTTCCAGTATCTCGTAATGAACGATAACTTTCATATTCCTCCAAACGCACTTGTTTCTTATTTTCTCATTTTGTGATAACTACTGTCATTTTTTGTTTTCAGTTTGTATACAAAACTCACTTTTCATTACTTATAACAATGCGATGCTAATATGAAAGATTAGCATTCTTGGTTACAAAAACTTACTGCAGATGGTGGAACGTCGTGTTTGATTTTCAAGTGAGAGTTCATGAGCAACCCAAATTCACTCTTTTCAAGTTTTACCGATTAAGCTTTGAAATTCACTATAAATGACACACTGTCGAATAGGAAAAGGGAAAGGCAAATTCTAGACAGTTTTATATCATTCAACCTTGTTTGGTTGATTCCTAATTCATAGTGGCAAAATACAACTTGTTAACAATCAAAATCTGTATTATTCTTTTACGACAGAATATGTAATTTCTTTTTAATCATTTCAGTCGTGTAAGGCAGTAAAGACACTAAGACAAGGGATTACAAAGTGTGAAAGAATCAGAAAAAAGAACAACATTATTAAGGTGCGAGAACAATAGAAGAAGATGAATCAAGATGGCAGTAGATAACGATTGACATTGCATTTAAATTTTTGAAGATGAAAGTTGGTTGGAATTTACATGTAGCCAATATAACTGAAACCTTATTGCCAATCTAGTACTGCTCTTAACTTTGACTGAAAAGTATTGTAATGTCAGATAAAAGCAGGCAAGATATTTTCATGGATGAATAAAGACGCTATGAATTTATATGAAAAAAAGCTTTCGTCAAATAATAAGAAGGAAATATAGTTTTTGTCAAGTTAGTATGGTATTAATAAATTAACTGAAAGTCGACAATATGTGATAGAAAGACGAGGACATATTTTGTAAAATGGTGTTGTGAATTTATATGAATAAAAGAGTTGTTTAAAGGAAAAAGCGAGTAATATTTTCCTTCAATCTGACACAGACATCCTTTTATGTATATATGTATTGTATTTTCCGCTTTATCACGCAATTCTTTTGTAATCATAACTTAATACTGGATAATCATATATATTTAACTCTGAGGACATCAGAGGACGAATGTGACAAACAAATGAATGCATACCATGACTAAATGGACAGGAAGCTCGTTTTGTAAACCGAGTCGCTTTAGGCAGGAGTTTGATTCTCAAATCTTCTCCATTATGGTGTCCATTGTTGCAGACTATGCCCTGCTTTGCAAATAACCATCAAAATAAAATATTCCCTTGATATATCATTTCTCGAAGCTGTAGGGTCATCTGCTTTCAAAAGAATGTACGATACGTTTGAGCAGGGTTCCTAAATAATCATGCAAATAGATTCAAGAAGCTCGGCTAGGCGCAGAAAATAAAGGACATTATTTAATCATTCTTTCCGGCTACAGGGTAGCCATAAAAAAAAAGCGGCAAATTCAAAAAGACGTGAGGCAACCGTTGAAAACTGGTGAAGAATGATGCGACTGAAAATCTCGTCAATTCCCACCTTGGATGTTCTCCTTTGAAAAGGACTATAACTTGATGTTTCAAAATCAGTGAGTTGTTTAGGGCAGAACGAAAGACGACAGTTGTCGGTAAATAACCTTTAAATGACAAGTCACAAGAACGAACAGCAGTTAAGCACCCATAAGAGCCAATCAGAGTTAAGTAATTACGCGAGAGTCGTATGATTATTCAAGGTAATAAATATTCAAGAAATTTATTCATGGTTATTCAAGGTTAATTATTCCTGGAAAATAAAAGTGATAATAAGTTTGTCGCGTTTTACTGGACACCCTGTATATGGAGGGCTGGGGAAGTTGGCTTCAATTTGCTCACTTCTTTTGCTGGATAAAAACGAAACAATATTATTTTCTGGGATGAGGCGTTATCATTATTTACACTATCTGTCTTCTTCTTTGCTGTTGTTTGTTAGCACACTGTTTCGGCCATTGTACTCTCTGGCTTTCATCTAGTCTATGTCGATCGAGATAAACTACAGGTAATTCCAAACTGAAAATTAAATGAAAGACGGTTCACATTCCACTGCCAAATCAAGAGCTATTTTGTATAGTTCTTATTTTCACTGCTACTGCTGCTCAGTAATAATTTCGCCCTATTTCCACCGAGTTCAAGAAAACACAGCTCAGCCCAGGGATTGAACCCACAATTACTATATTAACAAATTCTCGAATCAACGCTTTAACCCACTAGGCTATTACCCCATAGGCCGAAATGATGAGGACAGTAATTCGCATGTAGTGCAAATAGGTTCGTCTTCTTAGCCTCAACCTATAACAATGCTACTTTTTTTTACAGTAGGGTTCACCCTGTACACGCGCGGGGGCTACTCGAGTTAGAGGGTTACATTAATGGTATATATGGATAGGTGGATAAGGTAACGGTTATCACTATAGTTGAACAGGTTAGTGATCGGGGAAACATCCTATTGTGAGCTTGTTCCACAGGGAAGTGGTTCGGGGGAAGAAGATGTTTGAGTGGAACTTCTCGCCAATAGAATACGGAGGGAGTGTGGGTAGTTTTTACAAATATATCTAAGTAGCATGGCGGGTCCTAGTCGTGAAGGTTAGACCAGGCGGGTCCTAGTCGTTAAGGTTAGACCAGGTGGGTCCTAGTCGTGAAGGTTACACCTGGCGGCTCCTAGTCGTGAAGGTTAGACCAGGTGGGTCCTAGTCGTGAAGGTTAGACCAGGCGGGTCCTAGTCGTGAAGTTTAGACCTGGCGGGTCCTGGTCGTTAAGGTTAGACCTGGCGGGTCCTAGTCGTGAAGGTTAGACCAGGTGGGTCCTGGTCGTTAAGGTTAGACCTGGCGGGTCCTAGTCGTGAAGTTTAGACCTGGCGGGTCCTAGTCGTTAAGGTTAGACTTAGCGGGTCCTAGTCGTGAAGGTTAGACCAGGCGGGTCCTAGTCGTGAAGGTTAGACCAGGCGGGTCCCTAGTCGTGAAGGTTAGACCTGGCTGAACTAAGGAATGTAGTTCGTCTGAGTACTTTCCATGGCGATAGCGATAGAGCAGTGAGAAAATCACCACAACCTGCTTGTGAGAGAGAGAGAGAGAGAGAGAGAGAGAGAGAGAGAGAGAGAGAGAGAGAGAGAGAGAGAGATTGAAAATAAGTCTTCTCTCACAAGGGCTGGGAAACGCATTTGAATTCTATCATGGCTAGAAAGTGAGAACTGGTAAGCTTCCGCTCAAATATGGCAACAGTACACTATTTTGGGCCTGATCTGGCTCTTATAAAGATAGATGATAGCAGGAAGAGTCAGGTACTTACTGGAGCGGTACAGGGAGCCGATCATTTTACCTGCATCTTTAGCTGCATCATTTGTCTAAAAATCATTACGACTATTCATTTTTGAAAAGCTTTATCTTTCTTTCTACCCGACAAAATATTAGATTCTGAAACATTAATATAAATCTTATATACCGAAAAACTCTCAATGTAGAAAATATGTACAAACGAACAACTAAAATATGTGTTTTTAAACAAAGAACAATAAAAGGCTTTACATTAGGATAATAGATCGAAAAAAATATGAGAGAATCTGTTAAAAACAATTATAGAATTAGTAACCATTAAAATTCAATATCTGACATAGTTCCCTAGACGTTTTATTTTGTGGCGCCGTGTCTGTTATGCCTACATAAAGGAATGTGAATGCTGAGAGAGGCGGAAACACAAGTCCTCGGAGAGACACCCACGCACATTATAGACACTGATGCCAACAAAAGATAGTAACACCAGTTTTTATTCGAGCATACTTGCTTTGCTTAAAATTTCTAGCCACATACATAAACGTGGAGTTTGGTAGCGCGCATGCGCATCATTATCAATTCACTACTCGACACGACATTAAAGTCGACCTGATAAAAAAAAAGAAGAGAAGAACAGAATTCGTAAAATCTGTCATCCGTGAATGATTCCCTCCAAGAAAATTTCCGAAGACTCGTTGATAGCTTTTCTTGAGTATTTCTATCTTGCAACATGAAATCTGTTACCCACTCTCTCTTACGGATTAACTAGAGATAAACTAAGATTATCACTTTTCTTTAGAAAATTGAATAAAAACCGAAAAATAAGCAAGAGGCATCAAATGCAGATTAATGAACTTTCTGGAAGACAGACAAT